GCGACTCTTTCAGTCCCACTCCCACTCCCCAGTCTTACCCAGTGAATGACTGGCTGCTGCCATCGTCGTCAGTCTGGTTGCAGTCACAGCCAGTCATGAATCATGAATGTTGCCGTCTCTCTCTCACACACGCATACAGAAACCGACCACCTCCGACGTGGATGTTGGGCATACAGACACCGACCACCTCCGACGTGGATGTTGGCGAAACTTGGGTGTCAAATCCCACATCCCGCATCCCTCTGTGATCCCGTGGACCTGTGGCGAGGGTATGAAAGGGGACGGAGACTTGGTTCGTGAGGTTGTTTGCGGAGGAAGGCGAGGCGATCGATCAGACCTCCTCTCGACTGTCTGGATCATCCTCCCTTCGAACACTCGCAGCTGTGACTTTCACCCTACCTTGGAACACTCGTAACAGTGACTTCCATCCATCCTGCCTTGGAACACTCATAACTCGCAACTGGGACTCCTACCACATGCAAGGCATACATACTGCGACTGTTGTGTGTGGTGTCCATTCTTTCCTCCACAACCCTTCCCTGCCCACAACTCAATCCAATCCAACCATCCTTCTCTCTCTCTCTCTCTCTCTCTCCCTCGCTCAAAGGGGCTTGGGTGGCCTGTGCACGGTGGAAGGCTTTTCGTCACGTGCGCTTCTCAACCTTCCTCCTTCGTTTTTCTTTTCTTTTCTTTTTTTCTTTCTTTTTTTCTTCTTTTTTCACTTTCTTTTCCTTTTTTTTTTTTTTAGAACAAAGCTCCCTCCCTTCCTACAAACACTCGCCCCCGGATCTTCAGCCCTCTCCTTCCTCCTTGATACCATCTCCTCGCTCTCCCCCCCTCTCTCTCATCGTGTCTTGAAGAGAAGGAAAGCTTCTCGCTTCAATCCGCGATTCCTTCCTAATTCAAAGAGAAAACGGTACAGGGATAAGGACCAAAGAAAATGCCAAAGTCAAGGTTCGACCCGCAGAGACACCGAAAGTCGCAGAGGCACAATCCCATCGCCACCTCTGGCAGGGAAAAGCCGGTCAAATCCTCATCTTCCTCCACGGCTCAGGAGGAGCAAAAGCCTCGCGCCGATCAGCCCTCTGTCGCTCAGCAAAAGCAGCAGCAGTTCATACCCCTCCTCACAAAGCTCCCCTTGCCCACAGACCCTCCCTCAGCTCATGAACAGGTCACCACGCCCGACAAGATCTGGGCCTTGGCTTCCGTCTCCCTACTCCTCTCTCCCAGCGCCGGAAACACGTTGGCCGAGTCAAAGCACAACAGGAGGCTGCTCTTATCCCACAACATCATCGCCAGGATCCTCTATGCCCTCCAAGGCGACAGCAACCTGGACGTCAAGAGGGAGGCCAGTGGTGCGCTAAGGAACCTTTGCGTCGACGCCGGTAGGGATGTGAGAGGAGAGGTAGCCAACAAGGGAGGCGTCGAGGCCGTTCTAGGTACAATGAAGTGGGCTGCGCAGGCCTTTGGCTTCCAGGTAGCCTCCTTGTCCGGATCTTCCAGTGCTTTCCAATCTGAGACGGTGGACGAGAGGGAACAAAGAAGAGCTCTTCTCTCTGTCCCTATCGAGCAGATGAACAAGAAGCAGAGGAGGCATGCGGCGAGGATCGCGGCCGCCATGGGAAAGCCTCTGGAAGAGATCGCTGGTAAAGGTCTCCCGGAGGATGGCGATGACGAAATGATGGACGGAAAGGACCGACAGGAGGATGCGGCCAAAGCTCGGGGTCCTGGTCACCTTCCCCTCCTCGACCTCGAGGACGAGTCTCGAAAGGATCTCCTCGAGCTCTCGGAAAACTTGGTCACCGTGGTCTGGTGCCTCTGCGAGAGTGGCGGCAAAACTCTGGCCAAGCTGGTCAGCTGGAAATGGACTGACGAGGCCATCGATGCTGGGGTCGAGGTGCAAGGTCAGAAGCTGGCTTCATGGCTTTGCGATGCTACAGCTTTGGGTTGCCGAGCCGTGGGCGCCCTAAGCTTGGCGGCTCGTCAGCAACCGGATGAAGTGGGTTCTGCCTCAGCCGGCGCCGACCCACTCGCCAGCCTGCCCAAGGAGGAGCTCAACATCCTGCTCGACCTTTCCCTCGCCTCGGGGAATGCCCTCTGCGCCTTGACCGACGGAGGGGAGACCGAGTTTGTCTCAGGCCTGGTTGGAATCGGCTCAAAACTCGCCGGTTCCATGCCACCGTCCCACAAATCTTCCAAGGCCAAGGCGGCCACTTCCAAGTCCATGGAAGTAGACTCGTTCAGCGACAAGGCGGGTGGTGCTCAGAGATTAGCCTCGATCGACAGGGCCGTCTCGCTGCTGGAGGACTGTGTCAACACGAGTCCGGCCAGTGTGGAGGGGGATAAGGTGAAGCGCCACCTGCTCTCCCAGACCACCATGCTCGGTGTTTTGGCTTGTGGAACGCTGAGGAACATTGCAGCCGGTCTGCGCGCCAAGTCGGCTTCGAGCGCAGACAAGACGCAAGGTAAGGGGGACAAGAAGCGCAAGGAAAAGTCGAGAACGAGCCCCTCTTCGTCGGAAGACGACATCTTGGTCCCAGGAAGGAGTGGGTCGCCTGCCATTCCTCTCAGCCTGTACGAGGAACAGGTCGTACTTCCTCTCCTGATGCGATTGCTCTCGTCCCACAGCATCGAGGCTCTCGCCGCCTCTCTTGGGGGAGAGGGAGCCTGCGAGACTGATGAGAACAGCGATAAGGCAAAGATTCAGGCGAGGGCAGGGGAGAGGGCCCAGACCTTGATGTTGGCCCTGGAGATCCTGGCAGAGATGGTCGGAAGCATTGGAGGGGACGGGCGCGAAGAGGAGGAATGGAAGGAGGATCTCGAGGCCGGAAGCGACGACGAAGAGATGAAAGAGGGTGCAGACGACGACGTCCAGATCGAGCAGAACCTGTTTGGAGATGACGGGATGGAGGAGGAGGAGGAGGAGGAGGAGGACGGTCAGGAGAGGAAGAAGAAGAGGAAGCAGCAGGAGGAGTTGGAGGAATCGGAGAAGGAGAAGGAGGCTTCTAGCTCGACACGGACCGGAACCAGCAGCAGCCTCACTCTCTCCGAGCTGATCCGACCGACAGAGGGAAAGAGCAAGTTCAACGCCTCGATGGCAGAGGTGCTCCTGCCTTTCGCCAGACCGGTGGAAGCGAGCTTCGTCTCCCTCTCCGGAGCGAGTCCCGAGGTCGCCTCGGTCCTGAGGTCGCTGCACAGCCGTTCGCTCTCGGTCATCAACAACCTCCTTCTCCGATTGGCCACCAACGCTCCACCCCCTCTGAGCCAACCTATCGAAGATCCTGCGGACCAGAAGAGAGTCGAGGCGTTCAGAAGTTGGGTCAGCCACACCGGAGGAACGAGCCTGATCGCCGCCTTCAAGGCCCTGTTCGAGATCGCTAGGGGTTGCGCTAGCGTTCCCTCCGTCGCCTCGGGCCAGGCCAAGACGAAAGACGAAGGCCAAGACCAAGCCTCGGCCATCTCCCCGAGCGGTCCGACCTCGTCGGAGGGCGACGAGGGTTCCGATGGTCTGACCATGGTGGAGACCTGCATAGGTTCCATGTGGTCCCTGGCAAGGATCCTGGAAGGCAACGTCCCTCTCTCCTGGTCTTCGGATCAAGGAGAGGACGTCTTGCCGAGCAACGCCGACTCCAACACCGAAGTCACCCAAGCCTTGATGGCAGCTTACTACACCTCGAGGACCGACTCGATGAGAGCCAAGTGCCTCGGGACGCTCTCCACGATCGGAAGGAGTTCCTCCTGCTCGACGAACCTCAACGGAGCCATCGGCAACTTTTTGATCCAGGTGATGCAGAACCTGCCCCCTGGCAATGTCGGTGCCCAACCCTCAGGGAAATCCTCGCCTCCCTCTTCGACGACGACGGCCGAAGCCATGGTGGCCGCCTTGAACGGAATCTTTGACATGTACGCCGACGAGAACTCTGCTTGGGACGTCGAGGTCTTCAGGAAGGGGGGATTCCTGAACAAGTTGAGAGACCTTGTCTTTGTCGTCAAAGCTGCTGTGAGTTTTTCGTTCCCTTTCTTCGACCTTTCCCCCACTCCCCCTGGTGGATTAGGGGTGGGAGGTTGGGATCACTGATTCGCGCTTTTTTGCAGGACAGTTCGACTGACTTCAAAACGATTTCTTTACGTCACGGTGAACGAACGATACCTTCCACCGCTCTTGGACTGTCACAGACGAGAAGGATCGACAGGAGGAAGCAGTTGAGCTTGAGAGCTAGCGCCGAGGAGGCGCAGGACAACCTGGTCGCGTTCGTCCAGTACAGGCAGAGTTTAGGTTTCTGAGGACATTACTGAGAATCAGGTAGATCCCGAGCTGGATCCATACATCTATCCCATCCGTGCTCCCTGTTCGTGTACATGTCTGTGGTTTTCGTTGGAGTGGGGAGTGGTTTTGCCTGAGATCATGTTCCAATCACTTTGGATCTGCTTTCAAATTTATGTATTCCAACTGTCACCCCTTAGGCACGCTGAGCGAGCTCAAACTTCCACGTCGTTTAGACGTCAAAGTGCCCTTATGGCCAAGTGGTAAGGCGTCCGTCTTGTACCATCTACACTACAACGGAAGATCTCTTGTTCGATCCAGGATGGGGGCAAACGCTCTTCTTTTTCTATTTATTTTTTCGAATCCAGTTTTTGTTTACTCTCTCATTCGTTCCACTTTCCATTTACGCGTCCGCGCCACACCCTTGACTCCGAAACTCCTTCCTCCGACTGGTTTGGCTTTCGGGTTCTACGGTCGACTCGTTACGATGAGGCCTCCTCCTCCCCCTCCCTTCTCCTCTCCTTCACCGGATAGATCACCCAGTGTCAGTGGGGAATAATCTGAGCAACACGAGGAAAAGAGATAGAAAAAAGAAAAAAGAAAAGAAAAACTCCCCAATCAAGAAGAACGGACTTTTCCCCCCTCCCAATGTCAACTCCAAACCTTCATGTAACGTTGTTTGCTCCCCGCCGCACCAACCGAAGGAACTTCCGCGTCGTTCAACGGCGCTCCCTATGCCCTTATGGCCAAGTGGTAAGGCGTCCGTCTTGTACCGCTTACGACTGCAAACGGAAGATCTCTTGTTCGATCCAGGATGGGGGCATGTCTCTCTTTTTTAGGTTGTTCGTTTTTCTTTCCTCGAAACTCCCTCTCTCTTCCTTTCTGAACAGCCGTCTTCCTACCCCTACCATGCACGATGTCAACGTCAATCAACGTAGAAGTGTTCTCCAACCCCCCCCCGCTTTCATCTTTTCACATAACCTTCCGGCGTTGGCCAACCACGTCGCGTGCGAAGTGGTCGAAACCACCACATTCGGCATTGCAAGGATGATCTCCACCGCTTCCCTCTTCGTAGACATCCCACCAGTTCAGGATGAAATCAGGCTGGTGAAGGTTGTTCACCGAGGGTTAGCCTCGTCTTCGGGATTGAGAGGGTGATGGAATCGGAGATGTGTTGTTCGTAGGGAAAAAAAAAATGTGGCGCCAAAAAGTGAGGAAAAAAAAGAATGCGTGGACAGGGAATCGAACCCCGGGCAGGTCGAATCGATTTCGACGCTCTTTTAGCAGATCGGCTGAATGGCAACGACCTATGTTACCACTACACCACCCACGCTCTGATGGAAGTTGTTTGTGATTTAGCATATAGCATAGGTTCAGGTTCAAACAAAGAGTAAAGTAACCAAGTTCCAACCGCTAGACCAGACCATCGATTCCCCGATCCAACCCTCCCCTACCTTCTATTTACAAGCCGCCCCTCCCTCCCCCCTTCCCGTTCCATTCATTCCCTCTGCGATTCGGGGGAGACAAAATTTTGGAGTCGAGCGGTGAGATGTCGCCCCTGACCTCGTCAACTCTGGGCCGACTTGATCTCTCCCAGGATGGCCTCCTTGACGATCCTGTCGCACATCTTGGAGTAAGGGTTCATCTTTAGGCTCATGCTCTTGGCCAGAGGGTTACCGTACCTGGCTCCCCTGATCATGTCGTCGTTGGCCACCTCTTCGAGCCCGATCAGACTGGTCAGCCTGGGGTCAAGCCTCTCCAGTTCCGAGAAGCCTTGCTTGGTGGGTGGGGTCGAGCCGGGGGAGAGGAAGGTCGAGCTGAGCAGGGCCGACCTCTGGGTGAAGGCTTGCGCCAGGACCTTGGACCTTCGCTCCGTGATCGCGTTCGGATCCTCCGAGTCCGAGCTGGTCAGCACCAGTTCGATCGACCTCGTCAGGTCGGTGTAGACGTCGTTGAAGGGCCTCTTTAGCAATCTCTTGATTTGGGCCCTTTTCGTGAGGAGTGCGTGGTTTTGGTCCATATTGTCAATATTTCTTCACTTTCCAATCCATTCGGAATACCGGGGGGGAGGCGGAAAGGAAAAGAGGAGAGGGGAAAGGGAGACCCCACCTCGAGTCCGTCCTGAGGGCGCGGGAACTCACCTGTTGTTGAAAGCGCTTGCCCAAAGAGGGTTCTCTTGGATGACCTCGTCCAACCTCTCGAGAGCTTTCTCCAACTGGCCGGACTCTGCCAACGTGATGGCTTCCAGCTCTCCCCTGATGGACAGTTTCTCCTTTTCCGTCAGGGGTTGGTCGGGAAGGATGTTGATGGGTTGCCCAAGCGATCCCTCTTGATCCCACAGGGGAGAGGTGGGGGGGAAGGGTAGAGGAAGTGGGGGTTCGCAAGGTTGCCAATGCCGTTGCATGAGTGATCGCTCTCTACACACCCAACCCGACCCGCACACAAGCAGATCGGACTCACCTTGATCGAAGACCATGTCTAGAACCTTGCGATCCCTCGAGGTGGCTGGCCCTCGAGCTTGCGTCTGCTGTGTTTGATCCATCGCTTTCAAGGGGGAGGGGAAAGGTGAGGTCGGGTTGGGCGATGGTTCAGTCCTGTGGTTGTAGAGAAAGGTGACGAGAGGCGGGAAGGAGAGAGGGGGTTGGGGGGTCGGGGGGTTGTTCAGGCAGAGAGAGATATGAAGGCCGACCAAGGTCGGTCTCAACTGTTCTTCTTCTATCTGCACACATGACGGTGGTTGATGGTTTTCTGGCCAGGTCATCGCCTCCCCAACCCTGCCGCTCTCGACTCTCCCCGTCCGCCTCTGCCTCTGCCTCTGCCTCTCCTCCCCCTTCTCCATTTCGCCGGATTCTCTCCCTCCACTTTTCTTTTCTTTTCCTTTTCGACCATCCCGAGACTCCGAGGCCCTGCGCTCTGACCAACGACCAAACGCGGCAAATCAAGGGGGTTCAGAGTTGGCTCTCGGTTATTTTCCAGCTTTTAGCCGTGTCTATCGTCAAGCAAACCGCGACAAAAAAAAAAAAGAAAAGGTCCAAGGTGAGGAGGGATGAGGTGCCTTTTCCTTTTCCTTTCCCTTCCTGGCTGGCCAACACCATCCACTCTCGCCGTGATCCTCTTTTCCTTCCTGGTATGCTAAACCGTGCATCATCCTCCCCCCCCCCCCCCGAGGTTTGGGAGAGCTTCCTTTCGCAAGGAGAGGGTGCATGCATGCTCAGGGAAGGGGGAAGGTACGAAGGACGAAGGCTCCCCTCATTCGATTCAATTCTGAAATCTTGCATTTCGGATCAGCAAAGGTCGGCCAGTGGAGGGTGGTCTTGGAAAGCGGGAGGGGAAAGTGGAAACCAGTTTGGACCTCCTTGCCCTTCACACGCACCGAGACCCCCATCACCACGATCAGCCTCCTAAAATTTGACCTTGCAACTCTCGACCTTGCCCAGGGCTTCTCCAAACCCGACCCTGAAGCCTTCACCTTGGCAGAGACCCGTGATCCTGACGGAATCCCCATCCTGAAGCCAAGTCCGACGCTCGCCGCTCCTCATCGCCCACTCCCTTTTACCTCCCAAATTCTTCTCCAGCAGGCTGGCCCAGTTCTTCTCCTCCTGATCTCGTTTCGTTTCAAGGAGTACCGTGGATGGGGAGAGGTGGAAGAGGAAGGCATCAGAGTGGAAGGGGTCGTTGGAGGTTCTTTTCTTTTTCTTTCTTCTTTTCGTAGAAGTTCGAAGGGTCGAGAGAGAGAGGTACACTACTCACGGGTCCACTGATGGTGCCAGTCCCCAGCATGTCGCCCACTCGGAGGTTACAACCTCCTATCGAGTGATGCGTCAGAGCTTGGGTCATGGTCCAGTACATGTACTTCAAGTTGGATTCCGTCGTCGTCGTCCACTCTTCGTCCCTTGAGCCTTTGATCATCACCGCGACACGCCCCGTGTGAGAAAAGAAGTTTGTATGCGTGTAAGTATCGGCTTCGTAACCTTGCCCCCTCGCATCTGCTTCCAACCTCAAGTTCCTTCTCCGTGCGTCCGGGAAAAAAAAATGCGGACAAGCGGAAAAAGATGCACACCTTTGACTTCGACCTTCAAGTTGATATCCCAGGTGGACCTCTTCTCCTCCCTTAGATACTCGAGCGGTCCCGGTTCTTGGACTCGAGCCGCGACCCTGAAAGGCTCCAGGGCGGAGAGCTCGACGATCCAAGGCGAGATGGTGGAGCCAAAGTTCTTCCCGTTGAAAGGTCCAAGCGGTACGTACTCCCACGCTTGAATGTCCCTCGCTACAAGCGGGACGAGCAAGAGTGGGAAAGCAGAGAGGGGAGAGATCGATACCTTATCTCATGTCAGTGCCCCCACCCTTCCCAGCAGCAGGGCGATAAAGGGGAAGGGATCCCAACCCAAACACCCGATAGCAAACCTGTTTCACTTACCACTCCAGTCGTTCAAGAGCGCAGCGCCAAAGATGTAGGACTCGGCTTCGCGGATGTTGATGGGCTGACCCAGCTCGTTGACCTCGCCATGGCCATCTGCCTTCGTCCCTTGCTCTCCACCGCCCACGAAGAACGCCATTTCCAGTTCGTAGTCCAGCCTCATGCAGCTTCCAAGCACTGGAGCAGCGTCTGTTGGCGAGAGCTTGTATTGACCTGCGGGTCGATGGATAGGGGTCCCCGAGGGCACGATGGAAGAGGCCCTTCCGTGATAGCCTACCGGAATGTGCCACCTGTTGGGAATCATTCGGGTCGGAGAGGGACGGGCGAGGGGAAAAGGGGGGGGGTGTGTTCCGGGTGGCACACCACTGTCAGCGATGAACACGTGGCTTGCCAGTGGAGGAGGTACGGAGCCAGCCTCACCAATTAGGTTGGATAGCATTCTCTTTGCTCCTGAAGAGCGCCCCACAGTTGAAAGCGTGCTCCTTGGAAAGGTAGAAGTCGGTGTAGTCGCCCACTCGCACCGGAAGATGAAGCGTTGCTTCCGTCTGATCCAGTAAGACTTGGGCATGAAGTGACTCGCGCCTATCCTGAAGGTACCCGCGAAGAGGCCCATCCAGGCTGAGGAGCGACTGAAGAAAGCTTCTGAAGGATCGGTGGACGTCTCTGGACTCTGACATGTAGAGGTTTAAGCAAGGCTATGGAGGCAAAGCAAGGCAAATAAAGGGTGGGGGGAAAAGGTAGCAGTGCGAAGCGAATGAGACAAGCGAACGTGCGGGACTCGAAACGCTCTATGATTCGGGCTTCGAGGCAGCGTCCGTACTCACTTGATAGAACAAAGCTTTGGCCCTCTCCGGGACGATCGGACAGGTTTCATGTTCGAAGATCTCCTTCGCGACTGATGACAGGGTGGCCAGGTCCAAGATCTTTTCACCTATCGCCACACCTACCCTTGGGCTGGGCTGTTTGATCCAGTTCGGATTTCGGTTCCGTCGTCGTCAGATGCATGAACGGGATCGCGCCAGGCAGGAAGGGATGACTCGGTCAAGGAAACAATGGAGAAGAGAGGGGAACAAAAAAAAAAAAAAACTCACGTTGGATGGGCTGGAGAAGATGCACCAAGGCAGGTTTTCCAGAGGAAACTGAGAGTCGGGGTGATAGTCGACAAAGGACTTGATCGGGGACATGTTGAATGGCAGTTGGATTCGGGCACCGACTTTTGAGGGAGGGGGAGAAGATGGAAGCGATTGGGGAAGGGGTTTTGAAGTGATGTAGCCCTAGGTTGACACGAGGAGGGGGAGGGTGGGTGTCTCGGGGGGCGCCTTTTTAGACTAAAGCTTGGTATGGACGAGAGCTCCTTACGATGGTTCTTTCTTCGCCCAGCCTGAAATCACAGAGAGGACCAGAAGGCGGGGTGAGAGAGGTCGGCGAGCGTGATGCTCCGTCTCCCAACACTCTCAGCCTCGATGGCTGAACAGGCGCAGCAACGTCTTCCTGGCTTCAATCAATAATAATACCAAGGCAGGGACTCAAGCTTCCCTTTCTCCGCCTCGCTGCCTTTGGCTGGTGGTTTAGCCGCTCTCCGGGTGTATAGCCGCGAGATCACGTGACTTGCCCCGCCCCCCACCAACGCGCAAGTATCCGCGTAAGGCCGGAGAGAGAGAGAGAGAGAAGGGAGAGAACAAGGGAGGGGATCTGCAAAAATTGAAAGCAAGAACAATGATAACAATGATGACCAAAGCGGTCATCGTGTGGTTGACTGTGGCTGACTGGTGAATGACACCTTGGTGACAAGGATCAGATTCTCATGTTCGAGAAGGAGCGCATGGCACAGGGGACGACTCTGAACTTTCAGAAAAGTGCACCCTCTTCCCACAATCAGGTCGATGCTTGGGATAGAGGAGGAGAGACGAGTTGCG